ACTAAAAAAACTTAAGATATATGTTTTCATATCACAATCTACCTTTTTAAACCATTTCATGACTTGTAATCACCACTAACCGATTGTATTCTTCAAAACGAACAAACTAGTGGTAATATCGATGATAAATGTTGCAAGAATGGCCCTCGCTTCTCTCCTTCTCTCCTCGCTCTCTTTTGTCTTTGATAAGCATTCGGGGACCAAATGGCAATAAAAACAAAGTTTGGGATCAATTTTTTTCACAAAAAACATAAGAGATTAAAGTGCAAAAATACCAATAAATAGTGAAAATAAATAATAGAATTTAGTGATAGTGAGCGAGTGCAATAGGGTGCTTGTGAATTAGTATTCTCTTTTGAGTGTTTTAATTAATACAACTCTATAACCAACAATCATTTATTTGACGAGTCAATAATTGATTTTAATAATTAATCGCTAATAGTTAAAATAGTAGAAGAAAAAAAGTATTATTAAGACATATTAAATTTAAAACCAGTGTAAAAAATGAAAGATTAATTATAAACTAAACACCGTCAATAATTAATTAAAAAAAAGGCAAGGACGAGTAGCATTAAATACTCTATTAGAAAAGAAAGTGAAATGACCAAAAAAAGGTTAAAGAGAAACTAAAAAAAGAGAGAATCAATTAAGTGTAAGTATGGATTTTCATAAATCCATTGAGTAGGAACGAGTGTAACTAAAAGAGAAGAGCATTTATAATGTAGAGAGAAAAAAAGAAGGAAAATGACAAAAAAGGATTTAAGAAGAAAATTAAAAAGAGAATTTGTTAAGGGTAAGTGTGGATTTTCACAAATCCACTAAGTGGCGATTAGAGTAATTAAGAGCAAAAGAGAGATCGTTTATAACCTAGTCGGCATTGGAATGTGGATCTAATGCATGCCTTGACAATCTTAATACTTGGTATCCTAGTTTACTTTTTAGCTATATCCGTATTTTTCTATATGATAGTTAAAACAATGAAAAATAGATGGTCAATAACAAAGAAATGAATGTAGATAGTTAATAAGTCATTTTTATAGTAGTTGACACTAAACCGACTTTTGTAAGTAAATAGTAGTTTGTATGTAAACATAATATCAGTAATAAAATGATAATATAGTCGTAGCTAGTGTAGTTTTCTCTAAGTTAATTATTTCCATATTAGCATCACCCGTATAATAAGACAATAGAATTAAATAGATAATAATTCAAAATAAATGGCAATTAATGCAAAGAAAAAATTAATTAATTATCGGGTAATGGATCGAGACTAAATAAATTTATATAAATTAATAGAAAAAATTTAAGAAAATCGAGAGTCATAGATTCAATTATTTCGATTAGTAGAATTTAAATAAAATAACGAAACGCGAAAAATTCGTTGTACATTTTGAACTAACATGTAGGACCTAATCGTCATTATTAGACTTTCGTAATATAATTTATACCTAAATGCATTAGAGAAAAGTCACAGTGTTTTATTAGCTTGCATTTATTATACTTCGAATGTAGGTTGACAACAATAATATTTTTAACCTATTAAGTTATAGGTAGATTGGAGGTGTTACAAATAAACACACTATTATTTAATAAAAAAATTGATAAAAATATATGATCGATAATTTTGAAAATCCATGGACTAAAAAAACTAAAATTTATGTACTCAATTAAAAAAAATTAAAAATTAATATAATTATAGAGTATTTATTCTGACCTTTCTTTTGTTTCCATTCTTCACCGAACTGCAACTCCTAACTCCTAAGTGCTCCATCCAAAGCTTCAAACATGTGGCTTACAATCACTTTCACATCAATGTCTTTCCCTAGTAGCAACAGCCGCTCTGATACCAGCAGCCACGTCAGGTAATTAAAATCATCTTTTCATCTAGACTAATTTCTTCCAAATAGAAAATAGGGAAGGGAAGAACAAAATATGGGTCAAATCTGTAATGGGATTTTTTTTTTTTTTTTTTTTGTGATTCTTGAATACTTTTGAAATTTATTGATATGGATTCTGTGATTCGTTGTTTGGATATTTTCCATGAAAACACATGGGTTCTAGTTTTCGGCTTATGGGTTAAAGATAAGATTTATTTGCACAAGAGGGATTTTGGGCTTCTTATTCTTTTGATGAAACAAATTGGGTTTTGATCATTGGCATCTGGGTATTTGAAAAATATTGGCAAAACAATATTTATTTTGTGGAAAGGAATGTAGTGTGTTGATTTTTGGTGTCGTTTTGGATTTGTCGTGTTGATTTTCTTTTTATTAAAAGCAAATGGGTTTTGATTTTTTGTCTTTCTGATGTTTGCAAATGCAAAAGCATGGCTATTAGGAGAAGAAATACGAACATATAGGTTTCAACTTTTGCTGGTTTAATTGAATATTATATGTTTTTCATAATTTTGTAGCGTAGAAGTTATTAATTTAATAATGTATTTTTGGTGAATACAGCAAGTATTGCTGTGGAAAGATATATATATATATATATATATATATATATAAAGAGCTTGGGTCGGATACCGTGCACCTAAGGTAGGACGGGTGATGGATGCGGGTCTTTTGGGTTGGGGTCGAGTGGAGCAAAACTCGCTCCCGATTCAATCTATTGATGTCCCTAGTTTTATATTTTAATTTGAAAAATCTAATATTGAGTTTTAACAATTTATATATATATATTTTTAGATATTACTAAATTTAAAATAAAAATTTCGTATTTCAACCACTTATTTTTTTAAATTACTAATATATCTTTTCTATTAATTTTTATTATTATATCATAATTAAATACATTTTATATCAAATACTTAAAATTAAAATTCCTAAGATTTAAATGTGCATAAAAAATAAAGAAATTAAAAAGTAAAATATTGATGGATATTTTAGATATTTAATATAAAATATGTTTAACTATGATGTAGTAACAGATATTAACAAATATTGATGAAATTGTGTGTTGGTAATTTAAACAAAAATGGTGGAAATAACAAATTTAATGATAGATTTAACATAACCCTTTTTTTACTAACTTTTTCTATTAGTTTTCCATGATAATTTAATTTTTTTTCTTTTAAATTATTTTTAATTTCTGTCTCACTTGTTTCAAATCAAACTAAAATTTACTAACATAAAAGACAATTGAGACACATAAAAAGAAAAGAACACTCAACTCTCATCAAGAATTAACTATTGATTTTCAAAATAAGAAGGATTTACTTCTAAATCACAAAAGGAGAAAAATATAGCATGACAAAAAAAAAAAAAAAACCCTCTGGATTAAGAGTGAGTAGTATTCGATTAAAGCCGATTAATCAAAATTACAATATCAATTCGATTTGGTTTTTAATTAAATTTTATTATTAAAAAATCAAACTCAAATTAATTCCAATTGTTCGATTTTGGTTTAGTTTTTAAAATATTTAATTTGATTTTTACCAAAAACCAGAATATATATTCCTTCGGTCCCAAAGAGATTGTCTCCTTTTGCTTTTTAACAACTTAAGACAATTATTAATTTTTATATCATATCAATATTTTTTGTTTATATATTTTTAAAATACTCTTTTTTTAATTATTAATTAGTTATTAATTTTAACCCTCCATTACATGGAATGGCCAATACTAATCTAAAAACAAATCTGTACAAAATTAAAATGATAAATAAAAAAATAATTATTAAGTTAATTAATGATTAAAAAATAGCATACTAGTGAAAATATTTTACTCTAAAAAATTTAACATGTAGTAAAGCCCCTACAATAGTATATGTTTTTCATGCAACAAAAAATTTGCTTTTGCAATTTTTATGTTAAACGTATTTATATGTACAAGAAAAAAGTATAAAAAATATTGATATTTTGTTAGTGAAGAATAAAAATAGAAGAAATAACTAATTTTCTTTATTAATTAAGAGTCTTTTAAAAAAGTATATTATTTAAAATTCTAATAAGACAAACATTTTAAAAAATATATAAATAAAAAGAAAAATAATATATTTTGAAAAGATGGAATATAATTTTTCAGAATTATATATGCATATGTATATATATTTAAAATATGTTTGAAATTTTTATTGTTAATTGGATATTGATAGTTTCATATACAACATATTTGCATAATTAATTTTTTTTTTATCATCATGTATTTTATATATAGATTAGTGAACTTGTGTTTAAATTTTAATGTCTTATTATGTAGTATGATTTTATATTGTAGTCTTATTTAAATAAATATTTATTATATATAGGTTAATTTAAATCTTTTGGGGGAAAAAAAACTTCATAATCCATAACATAATTTTTTAAGACTATTTGTTTTCGATATTTTAAAAAATTTGGGAAAAGAGGACAAAAATCAGTTTTGTTGGAAAAAACCAAAACCAAAACCAAAATTTCGGTTTTATAAATTAAAAAACTAAACACAAATTTAATCATACTTTTGGTAAGTTTAATCCGAAAACAAATCAAATGTTAAAATCGAGGCCGGAAAAACGAATGCTCAACTTAATCAGGATGGTAAAGAGCACGAGGACCCAAAAAAAAAAAAAAAACTACAGGGCAGTCTCGTGAATTGATTAAATCGCGTATCCCAATGCACGTCTTGTCGTTTTATGCGAGAGCTTGCCACTACTCCTTCAAGCTCTCCATCCACCTTAATCCCATCCGCCTGATTGTCCATTGATCAAGGTCGACCAAAATCCAATGGTCCAAAACAACAGAGTCTATATACACCTTAGACTAACGAGTACACAGAATTACATTTCCTAAAACTTAATACAGACAAATTTTCGTCTGGTCACTATGCGTCATCTTTTTATCAGTTACTGCAGAAGTTTGCCACGTCATCTACCATTTACCTACTATCTACGTGGCACTGTCTCTTGCCAGCTTGACAATCTCTTTTCAAAATCTTTCAGGGAGAGCCCAGGCTTTATGTACCTGACTCCCTCACATACACACCCATAGTTATCTCTCACTCCTCTCTCTCTCTCTCTCTCTACATATGGAGGAAGAATCTTTGGTCTTGCCGGGAAATGACGTCACCGACGGGTGCTTTAAGGAGTTTGACTTGGACGGTGACCTCTCACCGGAGTTTCCCATCAAAGAAGAGATGATAGAGGAGGTAATGCAAGAGTTATACAAGGAGATCACATGTGCAAAGCCAGCCCCGTTGAATAACGTTCTGTCTCTAGTTTTTGTTGACAATGGGAAGAGCGAGAGTTGTGGGGCGTCAGTGTCGGACTCTTCATCGACGGTGATGGCCGGAGTGGAGTTTGTTGGGTTCCCAGGGAAGTTCTCCGGAGGGAATGTGGGGTTGCAGGGAAATGGGGTTTGGGAGGGGGCGGTCAGAGGTTTTGATTTTGGAGAAGAAGGGTTTCTTGGGGAATGGAAGATGATGGACCGCTGTGATGGAGTGGAGTTTGGGGATGATCAGTGGCTAGATAGAGTATTGATGGGATGGGCCCCGGTAGAGGTTGAAGGGTGGACTTGAGTTGATGTTTATGATCTTGTGGGTCCCAGCTAGGCTGGGGAAGTGGAGTGTCCGTACAGTTGATAGTTAGTCATAGCAGCTTAGGTGAAATGTTAGGCTAGTGGTTAGTCAATGGTTTGTGACTTTGTGCGGTGGGTTTCTTATGTATTTATTTTTGTCTCTCCCCTTCTGTGTCTGACTTGTTTCGGAAAATATTGTCCTTCTTGGATGATGATCGATACATAGCCCAAATGAACCCAGAAGTAATCAATGCCGAAGTTGCTCTCTTTTCCTTTCTCCGTCAATCCCTTTGTTTCAGTTTAATCTTCAAATACATCTTAAGTTCATGAATGCAAATTCATGTTATATAACCATGAAATTTTAGACGAGTAGAAATTAAACTTAGTCTAATGCTGAAAAGGCAAATCAGAATGTTATTGTCGGATTTGGATTTTGTTTGCATGATTGCAAAGTTAAGAAAGGTCGGTTTGTAATTGTATCATTTTTTGAAAAGATAAGTTGAATTTCCATTACATTACTTATTTTCAGACAAATTAATTAATGACAGAAAATGGTTATGAAGCTTAAACATTGATGATTTTAGGTGTCTTTAGTCATTCGCGGTCTAGAGTTTTAAGGTGGGTAGATTGATAGGTTGAGTTCTAATAAAGACTGCAGAATTCGGGATTGATATTTCAATGCCTGTGACATAGAAGTAGGTTTGTGATGTGCAAAGCTATCTGATTCTGATCCACACAGCTAGTGCTTGACGTACCAAACTTGTAGTGCAATTCCAAGCAAGATTAAGACAACTCGTGACTAAAGATGGATATGCCTTGATTTGTCCTCTGTTTGGGAACCACGCCTATGTGCCTCCCTACCTATGATAGATAATGCCAGCACTACTTTGCTAGGCATATGGCGGATTTGGTCATAACTATTAATTAATCTTTTAAACTTTTACCCTTAAGTTTCGGAGTACAGTTAAAAAAAAAAAAAACTTTAACTCACTTACGTCACCTGGTCCATTCCCTTTTTTTTTTTTTTTTCCTTTTTACAAAAACCTAAATGAATTTTGTTATGGAAAAAACACAAATTTTAAATAATTAGTATATAAAGAAATATAAAAATAACAACCATAATCAACAATTACACAAGAGTATACAAAGAGATTACATCATTAGATGATTTTAGCCTATTGCACAAGTGAGTATGATAAGAGAAATTCATCATTTGAAATATGAAAACTACAAGGAGTAACTCAAAATATTCTCTCTCTTAAAAGTCCCAAATAAACCAAACTTACTTTCTCTCATTCCATGTGTTCTAGTTTAATACAAGGCAAAACATGGTAAAAAGAAATATTTTCTTTTCTCTACAAAGTTACATTACACATGTAAGAGAAGCCACTCAATAACTCTCTTTTCTCTCCAACTTTGGCAGTACAAAGAATAAACACTCACAATAAGTTTTACTTTAAAACATGATAAGTACTAACTCTGTCTTTTCGCATCCCCTCTCCCCACCTAATTTTTCAGGATGACAATTGTATCCGTCTTTATATAGATCTGCTTCCATTTATTTGAATGGAGATGATTATGGAGAAACTTTTACCTCCATAAAGTCAAAGGTGATGTTTTATAAGTTATTTTATGCCTACATTGTAAACCAGGAACCTTGTAATAAAAGAGTGAAAAATGGTTGAACAATTATATACAAGGCGAGTTCAACTTTTAAACTTGAGTTCCTATGAACTAACTCTATTATTTTATATACTTTAACTACTTATCCTAAATGTATTTTTGATATCTTTTTAATATAAACTAATTTACACAAATTAAAATTAGTTTGCAAATTCCAAGTGAAAGTTGCAATCTATATAGAAAAACCGGCTTTCAACTTTATAAGGTAATTATTTATAATAATGATTTAAATTTTTTAAGATTATTTTTAATAAAAAACATTTTTAAACTATACACTTTGAAATTAGATAACTAATGAGCTAGAAAAATAAAGTTGCAAACTTAACAATATATTAAGCATAAACATAACTTACATTCATTGCCGAAGAAGAATGCTTATGGATTGGAATTCCAAACATAATATCTTCGTAGAAATTCTATTATTTGAGGATCACAATCACGGATTATAGATAAAATATGAAAATTAAGAACCAAACTATCAGCCTACTTGATTTACCACCTACGAATTACATTATACAAGTTATAGTCTAATAAGGTTCAAGTGTATTGAAATTTAAGAGAATGCTCCTAAAGTTGTTTGCAAATTGTAAGTGTTCTTGAGTTTGATAACATATTGTTTTGGTCCTTGTATTCTTAATCGTAACTTATATATATATATATATATATATATATATAGACTTCTTACTTCTCTATGATATTTGCAATGATTCATGTTTCTTTATACTTTTTCATACCACTTTGTAACGATGCACATTCTTTTTTAACTTCTCACTCTATATTGCAATGTGATACATTTCTTTATAATTGTTGGGATTGTTTCTCGTTAGCACTAACTTTTCACTTAATTACATCCTATCGGCTATAAATATGTCTCATGTTTATTAGGACTCGTGATCTCTTATGTTTATATGCTTATCTACTTGATTTAATCATGTCGAGAGTCTATACTCATTAAATTTCTCACTAAAAATTATTAACTTCATCATTAATTGTAGCTCTTTTCTAATTTACGAGGTATAGACTAGGTTTTGGGCGTGAATTAAGTGTTAGACATAGGTAGAGTATTAGGCCTAGATTGGGTATGGGTCTCACAACCTTTATTTTGTCATTTCTCTTAATTTATTGGGCTACCAAGCCTAAACTAAATATTAAGTACAACATATGCCCCGTTCTTTTCATATGTGAAAGTCTTACTTGTGTAAAGAAATAACTCTTTAGTGCTTAAATACTTATTTTTTCCATTTTTAAGATGCAGCAGACATTTTGAATTTATTCATTGTATTCAATCTCTTTTCCTTCCATTTAATTCTATTATGCCGATCACATATAAACAACATTTTAACGGTTATCTCATCACTTTCTAGCTTTCTCAAAATTTTCATTTTTACTACAACTTGTAATCATCCTATCTTCTTTAATTTCCTCTCTATGATTTTTTTCGATTTTCTTTGTCTTTCATTTTCTTGCCTTCTTTTGTTAAATTGATGCCTTTTAAGAAACAAATACATGTTTTCTCTTTCTTTTCCTATCATGGCTATTATTACACTAGCTCTATAATTTGGCCTTTTTTATGATTTAATTCCTCCTCGTAGTCCTTCATTGATACAATTGTCCCTTTTTCCGCCATCTTTTGGCCTTTACCTATAAACATTCATGATTATTCTTCCATCTCCTATGCTCACATTCTTGGACCTTCACTCTTTTATGGTTATGATTACAAAGAATCATTCCAAAGGCATAACATCTTTTAAGAGATTTGATTCACGATTCAAAGACTAAGGTACTTTACAATCCTAAAATCGATCATCGTATTAGTTGGAATCACTTCCCGACTATTCTAAGCATCCTTCTTGGACATGGCCCAATAGATAACCGAGAGGTTTACACCTTATTTACCTATTTGAAGAATCAATCCCATATTGAAATGAAGCGAGAAAAGAATGAGAGTTACAGAAGTTTTTGATTTTACCCTAGGTTACACCCAAATCTCCAATACTCTTCTTACTTGGTATTGTTATCAATTTATGAGATATAGATAACAATTGTATTCTCATACATAGGGATTCTACAGGCATTACTATGGAAGATATGCTATGGAAGATATGATGTCTTTGACATGTTACTATTCCATTAGTATTAACCTTTTTAGCTCTTAAGCCTTTATCAATAACAATGTAACTTACAAGGCAAAGCTACCAAAAGTGGTGGTTGATGTCAAACCATACACCACTTATGCTCAAGTTTTATTACGTTCTAAAGATTGCAATCATACGTAACTATGGTTTTACTTGTTATAGCTTTGTAAGTTTGTGATTTGTTATGGATGTATAATCTTAAGATATATAGATGGTTGTTGCTCTTTTTAAATATAATGAGTCTATTGTTTTTGCTTTTTTGCCTCTTGTATATGCTAATTATAACATATGTCAAGCCATTTCTTACTCTTTTCTTTATAACTCCCTTTATCCACTATGGTTGGTCATATTTTAGACTATTACCTATTTTTCTCACTTGGTCTCTAGGTTTTTTTTATTCCAATGATAACAAAGATTTTCTTAACTATGATCACTATTTTAGTGTTTACTCTTCTCTTATAAATAAATTTAGTTATGCATAACCAAAAAATATTTTGGACTATTTCTTCTACCTCTTGGGTTTCTTTTGTATTGAGAAAAATACGACTTGACTAGCACAAGGTTTGCACTCTGTAAAGTTTATCGATAAAGGACAATCTAGAATATTAAAAGGTGGTTTTATCTCATAAAGAGATTTCTATATTCGTGGTTGATAACTATATTATAAAACTTTATTGCTCAAATCTTTTTATTAGATAATTTAGACTATATTAAGATATCCCCATCCTATCAATAACAATGCACAATGTATTTAAGCATCTTACAAGACCTATTAAGGATAATGGAGTTTTAGAATTGATGGATGGTGTGTTGTCAAACAATGTAATCACCTCTTTTTTACAAATCGAGATTGCCTCCACTTATACCGAGGTTTTCGAGTCCTTAGTGGTCTAAGTAGGCTTAAGGAAAATAATTTAAGGTATTAAAGATTGATGAGTCTTTTAAAATCTTCAAAGAAAGCTTTACTCGTTGTTTTCAAGTGGTTTATGAAACAATTTCTAAATATAAATACCAATAACGAGTTCTTGCATCTTGAGTAAGAAGAAGAAGAGTTGTAGGATTCGAGCATAAAGAAGTCCTCTTTGTAGAAGTCTTAGTTTTTTTTTATAAAAAGAACAATATAAAGGTTTATAAAGGTAAGTATGATTATAAGTATTTTTTTTCCTTTTTTTTTTATAACATC